CGTACCCCTCAAAGATAGCCTGAACCAGCTTAACCTGCCCCCGCTGCTGGTGCTGCCCACACGGTGGCCCCCGATCCCGGGCCCCGCTGGGGACCCCGCCGCAGATGGCCGGCTGGGTGCGGCACGGGCCCCCGGAGGCTTCCAGTGCGTGCACTGTGGCAAGACCTACCACACGCCGGCCGGGCTGGCCAGGCACCGGGAGCTGCACTGCCAGCTGCAGGCACGGCGCTGCTTCTCCTGCAAACACTGCGACAAGGAGTACGGCAGCTTGGGCGCCCTCAAGATGCACCTGCGCACGCATACGCTGCCTTGCCCCTGCGCCGTCTGCGGCAAGGCCTTCTCCCGGCCCTGGCTGCTCCAGGGCCACATGCGTACCCACACAGGTGGGTTGGTGGGAGGCCCCGGGGGGCGGGGTTCAGGCCTGGCCCCAGACAGGACCGGAGGGGAGAGTTTGCAAACAAGTGGCCAACATGGCCGGGCTCCCTCCAGAGGCTCGGGGAGGGTCCTTCCTGCCTCCTCTAGCGCCAGGGAGGCCCGGGTGTCCCTCCACGGTGGCCATGTCCCTTGCCCCTGCCCCCATCCTCATGTGGCCTCTCCCCTACGCATATTTGCGTCCATATTGCCTCTGTTGTGAGGACACCAGTATAGGGGGCCAGGGTCCACATACCCAGGGTGACCCCACCCTAATCTGGTCGCATCTGCAGGGGCCCTGGGTTCCAGGTCAGGTCACGTCCACAGGCACTGGAGGTTATGACACAAACACATCTGTTTTGAGACACACAATTCACCCCACAACACCTGGCAAAGCACAGGATGTCCCGGCTTCTGTGGGTCTGACTTGTCACCTTCCACGGCCTTCCGGAACTCTGGAGCAGGAGGAGCGGGGGACGGAGAAAGACGGGTGGCAAGCACGGGGGCACAGACTGCCTGAAGGGCACAGACGACAGCTGGGGCTTGATGAGGGCCCGGGAGCAACCCCTTCCTGGGGAAGAGGAGGCCTGAACACAGGAAGGGAGAGGAGGGCAGCTGCGGACAGACAGAGACGAGCCGACGAAAGAGAGGGGCATGTGCCCAGACCTGAGGCCCAGAGGCCTCAGCACTTCAACTCTGAGGGCAGGAGGTAGGACCACACCGCACCCCAGGCCCACCAGGAGAGGGAGAGGGAGGCACAGACAGATGGCCAGGAACGAGAGTTGAGGGCCAAGGCCCCAGCTGTCACGCATGCCTCCCGTCCCCGAGCCTCCCTGCCCGAGTCTCTGTAACTAGGACTCTTGGAGTCCCAGCTGGGCAGAGGCTGGAAAGCAGGGTCTTGCAGGAGCCACTGTCTGGGCTGAAATTCCATTTGGTTTTCCTCAGCTCCCCCCGCAGAGACGTCCCCGAGTGCCCCACCCCACACTCTCAGGCACTCAGCGCTCTGGGTCTGGGAGCCCAGAGGGTGGGAGGCCCCACAGGAGACTGACCGGGCTGGAGGGTGTCCGGGCTTTGAGCAGCAGGGAGAGATGCTCAGGGGCCTTGGGACTGCAGCCTGGTGCCTCTCGGGACTCCACAGGGCGGAGGGCTGGGAGTCACTCCACACGGGCAGAGGACAGATGAGCCCCAGTGGTCCTCTTACACTTGTTAGGGCTGTCCAGGGGGCCCAGCTCCCAACGGAAGGACTTTGCGCAAATCCCCAAGCACCCTGATTGGAGGTGCTTTGGAGGACACAAGGTTCCTAAGACGTTCCTAAATGCCTGTGTCCACTGCAGGGGCCAGGGCTCAGTCCTTTCAGCCCACCTTCACGGCCGATCCGGGAGTGGCGCCGCTTGCCACCCTGTCCTTCCACGGCAGGAACAGCGGCCAGAAGGCCCCCCGGAGGGCTCTGGCAGAAACAGAGAAGGATCTGGTGACTGTGGTGATTACAGCAAAGACCCACACTAGACCTTTCCTCTTAGGGTCTTAGATGCTGTAGTCCTGGCCGGATGTGACCGTCCATCCTGTTCCCAAGCGGCTCTGACCTTGACTGTGTATGTGGGCCTGTTGGTCCTAGGGTTTCCTCCTGGAGCCGGGCTGAGGCCCCCTCCATGAGTGCTGGGGAAGGGCGCTGAAGGAAGAGAAAGCATTAGAACGGGCACGAACATTTGGAGAAGGTGGAAGGCCTTATTCATTTATTTTTTTATTTTAAAGATTTTACTTATTTATTGGGGGGGAGCAGAGGGGGAGGGACTCCCCGCTGAGCAAAGCCTGAGCCGGGGCCCCACCCCACAGCCCTGGGACCATGACCTGGGCTGAAATCCAGAGGCAGGTGCTCACCAGGGGAGCACCCAGGCACCCCGAAGCTTGTTCGCTGGTAAACACGACCCATGAACCCGGGGCCAGCTCCCGTGAGCAGGCAGAGGCACCCTGACCCACGCCCCCCTTCCTCCCGCAGGTGAGAAGCCCTACACCTGTTCTCACTGTAGCAGGGCCTTTGCCGACCGCTCCAACCTCCGGGCCCACCTGCAGACACACTCTGGCACCAAGAAGTACTGGTGCAAGACCTGTGCCAAGACCTTCTCCCGCTCGTCGCTCCTGGCGCGTCACCAGGAGTCCGGCTGCTGCCCCGGCCCCTGAGGAGGGTGGGCTCGGTGCAGGTAGGAGGGACAGGACGTCACCCCAGAGCTGACGGCTGGCCTGCCGCGCTGCCCGGCCCCACACTCGCCCGTTCGGTGTTTCTCCTCTCCGCCTGCCGCCGCCCAACCCCATCCCGAACGGGAGAAGCCTGGAGGGCTGTTAGGGTGAGTGAGCGAAGACGGTGACCAAGGACGGTCCCGTGTTTGACTTGCTCTGGTTTCTGCTTCTGTTATCCCAGAGTTAAAGGCCGGTGGGGGACAGCTGCCAGCGTGGCCCGCGCCTGCCATTCCGCTGGCCTTTGTGGGGAGAGCTGCCTCAGGGCTCCCCTCCGCCTGCCGCTGGTCTGGACTCCGGGCTCAGCCGGGTCCCGTCAGGGATGCCGCATGCCGCCCCCGCCCTCCTCCCCAGGCAGCCCCGGACAGAGCGAGGCCCCCCCACAACCACAGGGCAGAGGACAACCACGTGTCCTCTGAGGCTCTGAGTCAACGGCGGAGGCTGAGCGTGGAACTGTCCTCGAGGGGCTGCAGGTGGGTGACGTGGCCCTCTGGCCGCAGAGTGGGGGGGGACGGCGAGGGCGTGGAGCCATGAGACGGAGGGATGAGGGGCAGGACTGGTGGGAGGCGGTGGCGCCAGTACACGCAGGCGGAGCAGGCGCCAGTACACGCAGGAGGCACCGTCTTCGGAAGAAAGAGACCAGAAATGGGAACAGCATTAAACCGGGAGGGAGAGCAGCCACGGGGCGTGGACGTGCTGGGGAGAGGGTGTGAGCAGAGCTGGGGACATCAAGGCCCAGGGAAGAGGCAGCCGTGGGCTGCGCGTGCCCGCACTGGCAGGGCGCTCAGAAGGCCATCTAGTCTGGGTCTGCACACGTCTCTACGGAGGCCACCACATCACCCAGGGACTGTGTCCGTGGCCGCCCGTGGCACCGTCACCTCCCCTCTGTCTGCCCTTTTCTGAGGCTGCAGGCGTCCCCCAGCTGAGAGAGGGGCAGACCTTGACCCTGCCCAAGACAGGCCTCTCAAACAGACTCAGGTGCCAACAGGAGACCCCTCCTCTGCCTCCTGCCCCCACGGGGCAGCCTCTTCCCACCTCCAAACACCGGGCGGTCACCTGCTGGGCTGGTCCTCCTCCTGCCAGCACATCTTGGCGTCTCCGGCTGGCCCCGGGAGGGCGGCCTGCATCTCACGGGGACTGATTGAGTTCTCGACACCCGGAGGGGACACCTGCTCCTCTCTGCAGGAGGGCTGGCCAGCTGTCAGCAACGCCACTTCTGGCCCAGGCTGAGGGACAAAGTTAGGCACCTTGGTCCTGGCCCTGAATGGGGCCATAGGGCAAGCAGCAGAGGTCCCTGTCTCAGCCCCAAGCCCTATGGCCCTGCTGAGGAATGTCCACCAGGCCCACCCTGGCCACTCGGCACCTACAGATTCCGCTGGAGGCTCCTCTGCGGCTGCTTGGATGACGGCCATTGGAGGAGCCTTGGGGACACCCCAGAGGAAACTTGACCGTTATCTTGGGCTTCTCAGGACCAAGGGTGACCTTGACGAAACTGGCCACCCAGGAGCCCGCGGCTCTAGCAAGTACCAGACTGTATCAGCAGGTGGAAGGAAGACGCCCTCTGGGAAAGCCTTGCTCACATTCCCGGGCTGCACTGCTGCCTTCCCTCCGCAGGGATCAGCCGCGCCCGGAAGGACAGACAGTGTGAGCGGGAGGCTTAGCTAATATATCCGAGTCCTGGGGCTGCGTAACCAAGTTCCCCACACCGGCCCGCTTGAACCTCAGAGGTCCACTCCCCCATAGTCTGGAGGCCGCACGTCTGAGACCCAGGTGCCAGCATGGCTGGTTCCTCCTGGGGCCCCTCTCTCAGGCCCTGCTGGCTTGCCGGCGTCTTCCACGTCCTCGGCTGGTAGACCCGTCACCCATCTCTGCCTCCGTCCCATGTGGCGTCTTCCTGTCTGTGCGTCTGTCTCTGTGTGCAAATCCCCCTTTTCCTGAGGACACCAGGCCTACTGGGTTAGGAACCCCCTGATGACATCATCTTAACTGGATCAACTCCAAAGACCCTGGTTCCAAATGGGGCAACATTCTGAGGTCCTGGGGGGTCAGGATTTCAACACCATCCTCCCCCAACAGCTGACATGAGCAGAGTTTGCCAAGAGACACCTGGGGTCAACTCCTCTGTCCTTAGTCCGCAAAGGTTTGGTGGGTGGGTGCAGTCGATTTAACTGATGGATTTACTGGAAACACTTCCTGTGCCCATTCCCACGCCTGTCCGTCGTCCTGAGCAGGAGCCCTGCGCTCACAGGGCAGCCGTCCCTCTCAGCAGTCTCCCAGAGCTCTGGGCTCCTCTGCTGAGCGGGTCAAGCCGGCGATCGGCCTGTGTCCCGCCATCTCACAGAAGGCCTTTTTTTTTTTTTTTTCTTTTTAAATAGCCTCCAGATGCCTGAAGGAAGCTATATTGTAGATTGTGTTCTATTTCTGGGTCCCGATGTCTAAATGAGGCGATGCACCTGTTGGATATGAAGGGAGGGAATTTCGCGGCTCTAAAATAAAGTCGAACGCTTGCCCTTCTGTACTGGCCCATGGAAAATGCTCCTACATTTGTATCTGGACTGGCAGAGGGCAGGGCGATGGAGGCTGGCTTGGCAGACGGGGTGAGGAAAGGCCCGAGGGCCTGCTGGGAAGCCAGCGGAGGATGAATGGGGGAGACAGGCCCACCGGGAGCGCGTCAGCTGGGGTCAGATCACGGGGAGGCCACGCGGCCCGGCCCGAGCAGCTGGCAGCTCCCCCTCCCCGTGTCCCCTGCCTCTCCTTGTCACTTTGGTTATCAGAATTCACCTAGGACACCCATTACAAAGTTGGCTTTCTGGAGCCCCCAATCCCGACACCTACAGAGTGGGAACCAGGAAGGGGGCCCAGACCTCGTTCATGTCTGTCCCAGTGGCGTGGGTGCGGCTGGGCTTTCTGCGGGAGCTGCTCTTTGGGTCCCTCCACCCAAAGGCTTTCTTTTTCCTGCCCAGACTTTGCTGAACACATGTCCCCTCTTCATCCTAAAGAAGGCCTTTGGGTCCCCTCCCTCCGAGGCAAGAGCAAGTGGAGCAGGGGCCAGAGGCCCTGGGGCCGAGGAGCTGGGAGCTGGTGCTGTGGCCATAGCCCGTCCGGTAGACGCTCCACCAGTTCCATCCAGCAGAAAGCGGAAGGCTAAGAGATCAGGGGGGATTCTGGACAAGAGGAAAACCATGTAATAAGCCCTCCAAGCTCAGAGACCCCATCTTTCAACAAGAGAGGAGTCCCTGGATGGTGGTGTGAGGGCGACGGACAGGGTCAGCATCAGATACCCAGCCAGGAAAACCACTGTTCTTGGACTCAGATGCCAGCGCCCGGCCTCCACGGGCTCAGGTCCTGGAAACAGGTGCAAGAGGGACACCCAGTCTCTCCGTGGCCCGGTCCCCTGCTCCATCCCCCATTCAAGGAAACCACTCTCCTGAAGCTACAGACACACTAGGGTTATGCCTTCCCTTCCAAAAGTCCAGAGGGTTCCATAAATATCATTTGGGCCCAGAATATTCGGGGGGGGGGTTCTCTAGAAGTTTGAAAATAGCCTGCTTGTTACTATCTATATTCAGAGAACCCACTCCCGGCCTCCACTTGGGGGCTAAGTATAGCTCGCTGGCAAGGTTCAATGGAACAAAAGTTTCCAGACCTCTGTCACTTGTGCACAGCATGACATTCCAGGGAGGATGCAGCCAAGACTCAGAGGGGGTCCAAGGAGGCCGGGACAGCAGGGCGCCCCCGAGCGGGGGAGTCTGTGGGACTCACCGGCAATCAGGGTGTCCTGGCTCGGTCCCCAAGTGAGGAGTTCTGATCCCAGCTGAGTCACTCCCACTGTAAGGCCTTGGCTTCCGCTTCTGTAAAAAAAGGAAATCATGCTAAACTCAGTTTCAGAATTCAGGGGAGGACCAAATACATATAATAGCAAAAAAAAAAAAAAAAAAAAGAAAAGAAAAAAGAAAAAAGACACTCAAGATTCCTCAAATAAAACCAAACAGCTAACGTCAGAGAAACCCTTCCCTCCTCTTAGAGTCTGCATGCACCTCCCGGCCAGCGAGTTCTGGCTCCCGCTCTCCCCTCCCAGCTGCCTGCTCAGCTCACTGAGCAGCTGGGAGCATGCTCAGGGCCCCGCACACACGGGGCAGGGGCTCAAGGTCACAGTGGGGCCAAGGGGGCTGCTGAGGGGCAGAGGTCGGGGCCCGTCTCAGCAGCTGGGCACGTACATCTCTGGTATGTGCAGTTCAGGGCTGTGTCCCCCATCGTCCATCTGTGCTGTGCCCCCAACCCCCAGGCTGACCTGAGGGCATCCGCCACCCCCCGCCAACAGTCTCCCCACACCTCTGTCCCTCGGGGCCTCTTCTGTTTTCCTGTGAAGATCCACCAGTCACGGGTCCTTCAGGAGGACGTGGAATCACTCGGCCCATCTAGCTTAAGATACCAGTCCCCTTCCCTCCCCTGGGAGCAGGCCTATGCTCCAGAGAGTGACATAGTGACCTCGGAAATGAGAGTATGTAAGGAAGGCGGTCCTGGAGCCACAGGGGACTGAAACCTGCATGTTCACCTGGGGAACGCAAGTGTTCTGAATCGGCCAAAAAGAGGCTGGGTTAGGGACAGTCTGAGCCCTGATCCCGCCGCCAGCCCCTCCACTGAGTGTGAGATGAGGTGCAGCCGCTGTCCCTGTGGCTCTGGTGACCTTGGTGGCAGCTGTGTCTGCCCCCCTCACAGAACCCACCCCGTGATGGTGGCTACGAGGGAGACCCCTCGCCATGAGGGCACGAGCTGATGGTGCAGGAGCTGCAGGGGGGCTTGGCACTGGCATCTCCACACGGGCCCGCCAGCTCGCTGCCCCAGGGCCCTGGCACCTCCCCACCACGCACTCGTGGAAATCAGATGCAGCCTAAGGATGTCTTGAGTTGTACTCAACCTCAACCCTGGGTGCCAGCCTCTGTCGTGTTCCGAGCGAAGGCATGGGAGGCGTGCAGAGCCCGTCACGGGGCGCGCGGGTCATCTCCGAGGAGGGCACGTGCCACGGAGACGCAGGCCTGTGCACCTGCAGGCATCTTGTCAGAAAAGAACTAAGGGAACCTGTCCCTTCCAGGAGAATGAACAGGACTTCTCCCCCATAACACCTACACATTTAAGAGAAAATGACCATTTCAGAAGCTTTCTATCTCTGGGCAGCTTTCAGGCTCAAAGACTTTTCTGATGAGAAAATGATTTTTCTTTTTTTTGAATTTAATTTCTTTTCAGTGTACCAGAATTCATTGTTTATGCAGCACACCCAGTGCTCCACGCAATGCGTGCCCTCCCTAATACCCACCTCCAGGCTCCCCCAACCTCCCACCCCCGAAAATGATTTTTTTAAATTATGAAATGAAACGTCAATATATGGACGTTCCGGATAAAAGAATGAACCATTGTTTTCCCAACGACTGATGTGGACACTGCGACACCCACCCAGGCCAGAGACCCCAAGGATGGGGCAGATTTCCGTGGATCGGAGCGTGGGAGGTGTTCACCAAGAGGTCAGATTCCCGGTCGCAGCTCGCTGGGAGGCAGTGTCACCACAGACAAGCTGCAGGCATCTGGAGGAGCTGGAGTGCGTTTCTGTCCCGTCTGTGGGGTCGGGCAGAGGGGACAGTCCGGCCGCTCCAGCCAGGACCCCAGACACCCAGATTCGCAACAATGCCAAACCACGTCACTGTCCTAAAACTGCTCTGGGAAACAGTTCCCCTGCGCACAGATGTGTCAGCACGTGGTGGGTTTCTTACCGATGATTCTGAATGAACGTAGTTCGCGCATCGTTACATCAGCTGAACTCCCAACACGGGGCAGTGTACAGGCGCCGTGTGCACAGCTCTCGGTGCTGAGCCCGGGCGTGGGCACACTCGCACAGCCAGCCGGAGACCCGCGCGCCCACGTGCGCTCCCAGGGTGGGAGCAGGAGCCTGTGGCGGTGCACGGACGCTGCCCACGGACGCTGCCCAGCCGGGCGCTGGGAGAGAAGCTCGCACCGGCTCGGCGAGATGCGAGAGACGCCCGTCACTGCTCCAGGGGCGCCTCCTGCTTCCCCGGCTGTGCGCGCACCCGCGGGCGCCGGGCTCATCTTCCGTCCTGCCGCCACCGCCTCAGCTCAAGCCCTGCGCTCCCAGCCCGACCAGCGAGAGCTCCTCCTGGGCCCTGCTCCCACCTTCCCTCCACATCCGCCTCCCCCACGCCCAGCGCAGCGCCCTGGCTACCTCACGTTCAAGACCATGACCCGTGGCGTCCTGTGGGAGGCCACCTTCACCCTAAACCCTCCGTGTGCCGGGCCTGTATCTGATCCGGACAGGCGCTCGGCAAACCCAAGGGAATGAGCGAAAGGGCACCTGGCTGGCTCAGGTCGTGACCAAAGCGTCCTCGGATGGAGTCCCGCGTCGCGCTCCCTGGTCAGCGGGGAGTCTGCTTCTGCCTCTGCCGCTCCCCCCATTTATGCTCTCTCTCAAATAAAATCTTAAAAAGGGGGGGAATAAAGGAACAGACGGGGGACAGGGCAAGGCTCCATCTAAACCAGCCTTTATTTCTGTTTTCTTCAGTCCATTTGCGGGACCAATCTCACAGCCGTGGCCTTTCCTCACCCTTAGAAAGGAAGCTGCTGGCCACGGCACAAGTGCGAGGCCCACCATCAGGCCCCGGGGCCGGGCTGCAGACACGGCGCGCGGGCGCCGGCAAGCGGTGAAGGCGACGGTGGAGACCATCCCGGCTGTCAGCGGCGTGGACAGGGGACGCCAGGGCGCATGCGCATGGTGACGCCCGCCGGCCGGCTCCAGCTGACAAGGCTGCTGGCCGGGTGCGCGCATGGAGCGAGGACACACATGAGCTCACTTCGGAGGAGCAGAGGCTACAGAAGCAGCCGTGTCACTCACTGATTTAAACACCCGACACTGTTTCTTCTGGAAGGAGGCAGCACTGACCTGTGCGCTTCTGGGGCCAGTGTCAGCCAGTACTCACCGTGGACCGCCGTGGACGTGACACTGGCAGGCCCTTCTCCACCAGAGAGGTCTCGCGGCATGTTGGGTGGCGGCTGCCATTGACACCTTCACACTCTGGCTTCAGAGTCTGTGATCTCAGCTACTAAACCAAGTGCTGCCCAGCAAGACACTCTTGAGCTCTTCCCTTGCAAATCAGAGACCAGAAACGGGGGAGATCAGGAGGCGGAAGTTCTAGAAAGGGCAGGCCCGGGTGTGCAGAGATGGCTGGAGGGTGGCCGGGCACGTGCAAGAAGGGGAGCTGCCCTGGGGCCTGGAGGAAAACACCTCCCTGACGGGTCTGGGGCTCGAGTGTGGAACGTGGGGTTCTCTTAACACCTGCCCAGGGGAAGACAAAGGGCCGTAAGCAGCAGTGGGGGAGGGGCGGGGCGGCACCGGAAAACCACGGAAGGACAGCAGGATGCTCAAAATTTCACCGAGCTGACCAGGCCTCTTTTTTTGTTTTTAAGATTTTATTTATTTTTTTGACAGACAGAGACACAGCGAGCGAGGGAACACAAGCAGGGGGAGTGGGAGTGGGGAAAGAGGATCCCTGCTCCGCGGGGCAGGCTCGATCCCCAGATCCTGAGACCATGACCTGAGCCTAAGGCAGACGCTTAATGACTGAGCCCCCCCAGACACCTCTGACCAGGCTTTGAGAAACAGGACAGAAAGGCCAGGAAGACCAAAGAGGGTGGAGGTCGAAGGACAGTGGCCAGGATTCCAGGAGTCCGAAGGCAGATTCAGGAAGGATTTCCCCTGAGCCAGGTGGGACGCTGCCACTCACAGCTGGGCTTGGGGACCAAACAGGTAGCAGGTGTTGCCCACCACAGCACCGGGCACCCAGCAGGTGCCTGATATCTGGCCTCCACACTCTGGGACTCCCAGCTCGGGTCCTGGTTCACAATGACACCTTAAACCGTCCCTGCCAGAACACAGACCTTTCAGGAAAAGACCAGCAGCGAGGCACTAGCAGGCAGGGCCGGCGGGCACCTCCCAAGATCAGCCAGACACCTGCAGGAGCAGGTGTGCGTGGGGCCCGTGGGAGGCCCCGGCCACCGTCCAGTGGAGTACGCACAGACTGGCCTGCAGAACGCCCTCTTCCCCAGTGTCTGGGGATGACAACGCATCCTAACTCCAGGATGCTGGGGCTGCCCTTACACACTCCACAGGTGGGGCTGAGAGCTCCGAGACTCTCTCTCCCTGTCCTGGGGCTGCCGGTTCCAGACAAAGGTGTGGGCAGGCTGGTCCCTCTCTACGTGGCCTGCAGACTGGCGTCTTCTCCCTACGTCCTCGTGTGGTCCTCCCTCGGCGCCTGCCTGTGCCTGATTTCCTCGTGTCCCCCAAGCCCTGGGATCTGGGTCTGCCCTACTGACCTCACTGTAACTTGATCAGCTCTTTAAAGATGCTCTCTCCAAACACAGGCACATCGTGAGGTCCTGGGCACCAAGATGTCAACATACACTTGCAGAGGGCAACTCAGCCCGAGAGCTCCCTTCCGAAACCATGGACCTTCTATCAACAGAGAAACGCCAGCGTGCCCCGGCCCCCCGGCACCAGTACGCCACAAGCAGCCCTCCCTGGAGTCAGACTGGGGCTCTGAGCTGGGCGCTGTCCCCGCCCCCGTTCAGGGGTGGGTGGCACAAGAGGTGGACTGAGCTGCTCGGAGGCTCCCGGCCACAACACATGGGACAGGATTGGAACCAGGCAGCCTCCCCCAGACCCCAGAATCCTCAGGCCCCGCCCCTGCTGGAAAGCAGCCCTGCAGGGACCCGAGGGCCTCAGGTCAGGCAAGCGCCTTGCTGTCTCCCACGTGAGAACCGGGAGCTGCTGGCCTTCCCTGGGTTTGGCTCAGGGACCCACGCGTCCCTGCTCCTTGTCCTTGGCACCTTCCCCAGCTGCCCCTGCACACGTGCCTCATGATGCGTCTCACGCATCCCCCAGACTAAGCCCGAAGCATAAATAAAACACGGACTAAAGCCTGTACGCGTGGGCACCTGGGTGAAGCTGCCTTCGGCTCCCAGGTCCTATCCCGAGGTCCTGAGATCGAGCCCCGAGTCAGGCTCCCTGCTCAGCGGGAAGCCTGCTTCTCCCTCTGCCTGTCACTCCTTCCACTTATTCTCTCCATCTCTCTCTCTCTTAACTAAAATCTTAAAGTAAAAACCTGTACACGAAGTGCTGTCTTGTGCTCTGCTGATGGAGAAGAGCAGGGAGCACCTGCTTGGTGCCCGGCACAGCCCCCTCAGCGGCCCCGAGGAACAGGGCTCGGGAGGAAACGGGAGCTCCCAGTGGCCAGAGGGAAAGCAGAGATGCAAACCTGACGCCTCTGCCTGCGTCATGGTGGACATGAGCACTACGAGCGGAGCCCCCAGTTTTGAGAAAAATGCCAACGGTCTCAAAAGGGCTGAGCCAGGACCGTGCAGACAGACAGGGAGAGGCTCAGGCCACGGTGCACACAGACACCAGTCATCCCGAGCCTTCCTGTCGGGGGGACAGACCCTGGTGCGGGTGCAGTGTGGGGGGCGCCGTGCTCACGGGGCGGCTCTGCTGGGCCCATCTCAAACTCTTCCGCTTGGAGAGGGGGTGTGCCGAGAGTGTGGCTTACAGAGCCCTCAGTGACACGGCTGGTCCTGGACCTGCGGACAGGTGAAGGGTGCGTGGATGACTGGGTGACTCCAGACGGAGGGCGCCCAGAGCGCCCCGCTTCCTTACTGACATGCTGCCCCGCCCCCACTATCACCGGGGCTCTGTCGCCCGCGGCGCCGCACACCGTGCTGCCTTCACCGCATCAGACTCTGGGTTTACGCCTGGTTCAAAGAGCTCACCTGGGTTCAGCAGTCGAAGGGCGAATATTTCCGACACAGGCAGCAAAGACAGTGTGACGCTGACACGACAGGCACAGCAGCTGTCTTCTGACGCTCTGAGAACCCACGGAGCTCCGTCGGTCTAAGCCAGCCACCAGACCCCTCAGTTCAGAACCACCCACCTGGTAGCTCACACACATGAAATCGGGGCATCACTAGGCAGCCACAGTGAGCAGTGACTGGCCTATGGCCATATGCACAGACATGAGGTGTGGGGGCTGATGGGTCAGGACACCTGTGCACACCTGTGAAGCCCCGGTCTGCTCCATGGGACAGACACACCTAGCCAGTCTCCTCCTGCCCTCGTCTGTCTCCCCTACCTCAGCCCTTCTCCAGACAACCATGCAGCTGCCTTCTGTCACACAAAAGGCTGCTGGTACTTTCTTGAATTCTTAGCAGTGGGACCTGCCATGATTGTTTGCACACCTCAGTCCCAACCCCAAGGCCTCAACACACGACACGTTTTCTTCCCAGACTTCTCAAGGCCTGAGATTCCCTTTGCTGACCCTCCAATGCTGGTCCAGAACTTTCATTATAGACCACCGAGGTCTGCATTTTAAGAGACGACAGATGTCACAGACCACGTCTACAGACAGAGGATACAGACTATCATAGTCTAGATGACAAATGACATGGACCGTCCTGGTCTACAGACAACAGAGAACATGGACCATCACAGACTAGAGACAACAGACGACATAGGCCATTGCGGACTGCCGACAACAGACGACAGGGACTGTCCTGGTCTACAGATGATAGACAACACGGACCATCCTGGTCTACAGATGACATGGACTGTCACAGACTGGAGATGACAGATGACGAGGACTGTCCTGGTCTACACATGACAGAGGACATGGACCATCACGGACTAGAGATGACAGATGACAAAGGCCATCACGGACTACAGACAACAGACAACACAGACCATCCTGTCTACAGACAACATGGACCATCAGGACTAGAGACAACATAGGCCATCACGGACTGGAGACGACAAATGGCATGGACTGTCCTGAACTATAGATGACACGGACTGTCACAGACTAGAGATGACAGAAGAAACAGGCTGTCCTGGTCTACAGACAACAGATGACCTGGACCGTCACGGTCTGGAGAAGACAGATGACACTGACCATCATGGTCTAGAGATGACAGATGACATGGACCATCATGGAACAGAAATGACAGACGATGCAGACTGCCACGGTCCAGAGACGACAGATGACACGGGCAGTCCCAGTCTAGAGATGACACAGATGACACAGACCATCATGGTCTAGAGACGACAGACGACATGGACCATCACGGTCGACAGATGACAGACTATCAGAGTCTATAAACAGCAGATGCGCAGATCACCACAGCTGTAGATGACAGATGTCGCCGTCTAGGCTGCAGCAGACAGTGGAGGTCACTGACCCCTGGTGAGCAGGGGTCTCCCTGCTCCAGCTCACCCCGGCGACCAACAAGCTTTGCTCAAGATACAGTTACAATTGTGTCATTCCCCAGACTGAAAGCCAGACCTTTCTCGCGGTCTGTGGGGCCTGAGCATTCCCAGCACCTCCGGCAGAACGCCACCGTCTCTGTCCTGCTCGCTCCGGCACTCATCTCACGTCTGCAGGGAGGCTGTGACCCACCCGAGGACAGAACTCCCCCGGCCTCACCTGGCACCGTGCGCTGCTGGAGGGTCCCTAGAAAGGCTTCACGAATGAACAGAGAGGCACACGTGTGAACTTCAGCAGAGCTTAGAAGAGAGTCAGAGGCTTTACAGCCTGCGTTCTGTGGCGACGAGAAAGTCACTCAGCTGCTTCCTGGGGGGACAGAATGAAGGACAGTTTTGGAAGCTGGAAAAGGTGGCTGGGGGTGACCTCGTGCCAGGCCAGGACACACCCACTCTTTAAATGCTTCTTGTTCCATCTCTGCCCCGAGCCCTGCTACCTCTCACCTTCCCACGATGTCGGCAGGTGCCAGGAATCTGAAAGTGCTTGGCTCTAGCCACGGAGGCCCTGGATCCACGACTCTGAATCCTCCCTGTAAAGGAGAGAGCGGGACCTTTAGGACGTAACTGTGTGAGCAGAGCCAGGCTCAGAAGCCACACGGTGCCCGCACAACAGGATGGCAAGAGAAGCAGGGCCCACCCACCAGCCTGCATTCTGGCGAGCAGACCCGGGAGGGAGGGTAGCCCCAAGGAGTTCAGAGCCCGGGTCAGGGTCCCAGAATGAGTAGTGGAGGCTGGGGAGTCATATTCTGATGCCTTAAGTGACCACAGGACCTGTGCTCTGTGCATCAAACACTCCTTAATAAACAGGAAAACTTTATAAAGGAATAGTGGCTCTGGGAGAAAAAAGAGACGTCAGGAAGGGGGGCCGGTGCTTCCTGGAGCAATCACGGGGCAAGGTCCCACCCCTTCTCCCCTGAACACGGGCTCCTGAAGGTCTCCAGGATGCCAGGAACGGGTGTGCCAGATCTGTCCCAGCAAGCCTGCAGCTCCGGCCACTCTGCCTCACATCCATTTCTCTAGATGGGACTGCTGGTGAGCTGCGGCAGGCCCTCAGGGTAATTAAAGGGTATGAGCACGCCTCACTGGGCTGCCTAGCAGCTGGTGTTCAAGACAAGTCTATCATGAGCATAAATGAAACAATTCATGTAAGGACTCCGTCCCCAGTATGCAGGCAGGAGCAAAGTGCCCGGAGATGGGCAGGCCAGGCAGCTGAAGACCCCCGAGAATCGTCACGCAGGAGACCCAGGAGAGCTGAGCTCTGGTCCCCCTCTGGTCCCCAAGCAGGAGGGAAGGGCCACAGGACGACAGTGCCCAGGCCCCAATTCCCATGCCAGGCTGTGATCGCCTGCTTCTGCTGACCACACTCCCACACCAGCACCTGGCACAGCACTGTGGCGCGGGGCAGATCCCTGATGGACGGTGACTGAATGACTAACGAGGTGACCCTTGGCTCTAATGTCCCACCGTGCATATGGTCCCCGCTGATAGCACACGAGGACCCCATGTCTTCAGTTTTGCCTCAGGCGGCTCGTGGAGCAGGGACGGGCCGAGCAGCAGCCACTGAGGACAGTCGTCCTTTCTCCTGTGTCCGAGCCCTGCACTTGGCGGTTGGCAGTAGAGACAATGCTCTCGGTCCACAAAGGAAGACACTGGGGCCACCGCAGCGAAGAAACCTACATACCTACCCGAGTCAGGTCTGCCCGACTCCGGAGCCAACGCACTTGTTCTCATCTGTCTTTGCGACTCACGGCATGGCCTTCGGACCAGCCGCTTTCGTCACTGGCACCCCCTGGTGCTTGCTAGAAATGCAGAGGCCGCACTCCAGATCTCCCGAACCAGGATTTCCACAAGCTCCGGAGAGGACTCGTGTGCACGTTAACACTGGAGAAACACCGCCGAGACTCCCTCTCATCAACACTGGGAGACGACCTGAAATAAAGGGCCGTCTCAGAACGCAGACTGGAACCACGACGAGAAGCAACTTCACACCCATTAGCACCGCGGTTATTAAAAACAAAGAGGAAAAAGAAAATAAGCACTGGGGCGCCTGGGGGTTGAGTGTCGACTCTCGGTTTCAGCCTGGGTCGTGGGACCGAGCCCTGAGTCGGACTCTGGGCTCAGTGGGGAGTTTGCTTCTCCCCCTAAATAAAAAATATTTAAAAAGAAAAGAAGGGGTGTGGAGCAACTGGGCTCTTTGTGCACCGCTGGTGGGCACCTATGACACGGCTGTCACAGGAGAACACCATAGCAGCTCCTCAAAAAACTGCGAGAATTCCCGTAAGACCCAGCAAGTCCATCTCTGAGTATCTGCCCCAAAGCACTAAGAGCAGGGACCTGCACGGACACCGGGACAGCTGTGTTCACAGCGGCGTCACTCACAACGGCCGGAAGGCGGAAGCAAGAGAAGCATCCCTCGGAGGACGACCGGAAAAGCACGATGTGGCCTGGCCCTGCAGGGGACGGTAGCACTCGGCCTTAGGAAAGGTCATGACACCTGCTACACCATAGGGATGGGCCTGGGGTGGGGGGTGGGTATTACACTGAGTGAGAAAAGCCAGACACCGCAGGACAAACACTGTACCATCCCACCCACAGGCGGTCCCTGGGAGAGTCGGATCCGTACAGAAGATGGGGGTGCCAGGGGCTTGGTACAGGACAGGGAGTCGGTTTAATGGGGACCGAGCTCAAGCTGCAGAAGACGGGCGCGTTCTGTGCACGTGTGGCGGCGTCTGCGTTACGGTGCGTGCACTGCACACTCCCGAGCTGATCCAAAACCGGCCAAGACGGTAAATTTTAGGCTATGTATATATATATTTTTAAGATCTATGTGTTTACTTTAGAGAGTGGGGGCAAGAGAGAGAGAGCGCACAGCAGGAGGGGAGGGGCAGGGAGAGCGGCTCTCAGCCCCCACATGGGGCTCAGTCCCGTGACCCTGAGACCACCACCCGAGCTGAAACCAGGAGTCAGACGCTCAACTGACTGCACCACCCACGTGCCCCTGGGCTATGTGTATTTCAGCGCTATTTTTAAAAAATGCTTTAAAATAAAAGAATCTGAGGGGGATTGTGCGAGATGCTTTAGGCTTACAGAAGTACACTCTGCTCTTCATTCTTGGTACTTGGCCTTGAAATGTCAAGCTTTACTCCCTGTTTTCCACATACCTTTGAAACACGTGAAGGGAACAGACAGAAAATCAGAACAATGAGGCCTCTGTGGGGTTAACAGGCATTAGCCCCACAGCCCATGTAACCAAAAGCTGAGAGTGGGAAAAACATACACTTACCCAAGAGGCCCTATGAGGGGTTGACTTAACACATGTGGGTAGGTGCTGGGCTGAGGGTGTCGGTGTGGGATGCGGGCCCTGCCCCCTTCTATAGGGCTTGTCCGTTCAAGGTTCTCCGTTAAATAAGGGAGCCTTGGCCCACTAACACGTGCTCAGGCATTTAGGCCCATTGCCTGAACAGAGTGCGGTCTACATCACGATAGTAACAGAAACGAAGGAATACCCATTTCACTAGACGGGGATGGTGGGGAGGAAGGGACATTGTTGGGGTAGAACAGAACCCCTTCTTTCTACTCAGTGGTAACCAACAGATGCTATTCAAAACTGAAAAAAGGGATCAGAGAAATTAGACAGAAAGAATACGAGCAGGTTATTTAGAAATACGGAGGAAGGGCCACCTGAGCGGCTCAGTCGGAAAGCGTCTGCCTTCAGCTCGGGTCATACTCCTGGGGTCCTGGGATCGAGCCCCGCATCGGGCTCCTGCTCCGCGGGGAGCCTGCTTCTCCCTCTGCCTGCAGCTTCCCCTGGTTGTGCTTACAAATAAATAAAATCTTAAAAAGAAATATGGAGAAAAACAACAGATTTGAACAGTGGCCGCCTTCGGGGTACCTGGGTAGCGCAGCTGCTTACGCACCTGACTCCTGCTCTCAGCTCAGGTCATGACTTAAAGTCCAGGGACCGAGCCCCACTTTGGGCTTGGTGCTCAGTGTGGACACTGCTTGAGATTCTCTCTCCCTCTCCCTGCTCCACCAGCGCTCACTGTCTCTTCCAACTAAAATGAATCTAAAAAAAAGAAAAGAAAAAGTGGCTGCCTTTGGGAAGCCAAAACCTGGAGGTGCTAAGTATGCCGGAACGCGTCTAGTAACTAAGTTTTAAAATCACGCATATATGACATTACCTTAATCTGTTCAGGCTGCTATAACAAAAAACCCCAGACTGGGGGGCTTACAAGCCCCACTGGTGTCTCACAGTCCAAGACCAAGGTCCTGGCAGATGCCCCGTCTGGGGAGGACGCGCTTCCTGGTTCAGGTCAGGAGGCCGCGTCCTCACGGGGCAGAAGCGGGGAGGACGAGGGCTCGGGGCCTCTGCTGCAAGGGCTCTAACCCCATCACGAGGCTCCGCCCGCTGACCTCACGGCCTCCCACCGGCCCCGCCGGACACCGTCACACTGGGGGTTTATGACAGGAGCTGGGAGAACTTCATACAGGTCCGTGCTGATCTTTCCACCACTACTACGGCAGAACGTACATTCCTGAGGCTCACGGGTGACCTGGCTACAGAGAACACCCCTAAGGGGTGCCCGGACGGTCTGTCATCAACCTTTCAAAACAGGTTGCAGCGGCTTTGCATGAAACAGGAACACGATGGCAAGAACACCTTAAAATAACAAGCACCTGAAACGCAAAGGCAAACCGCGGTGGGATACCATGTTCACATCAGACGGAGGGGCCGCGCCGCGGTGGCCGGGTTTCCACAACCGATCCCACTGCCTTCCGGGAACCTGCCAACAGCTCTCAGAACTGCCCCACACAGTCTGCTTGGCCTGTGATCCCCACTGAGGAACCTTCTAAGGAACACGAACACCGACACAAGCTGTGCTACCTGAGAAGCCGCTCACAGTATTAAGAACCGGTGACGCCTACCGGCCCACCAGCAGGCGGTGAGCTGGGAAGAAGGCGGCACGTCCAGACAACAGAACGGGGCGCACCCCTGCACGGAGCGGGCATGACCCCCAAGAAGCACCTACGTGGGAAAAGGTGTCGGCCCGTGTGTATCACCCGTGAACGCTGAGGGAACCGGACACAAAACAGGAGCACTGGCACGTCTGGGGAGAGGAGGGCTGGGGCGGCTGGGTTTGCTCTGCGTCTCCCAACCTGGCCGGCATCCCGGCCCCGGCAAGGGCAACAGCGGCAGCTGGTAAAGGGCGGGGGCATCGAGAGCTGGTGCTGCAACGCTGCGAGCTCGGGTTTACAAGGAAGAGGTCCGGTGGCCTCAGGGTGGTCATGGTTGTCCAAGGGGAACCGACTCCGGCCACAGAACCACACACGGGAACAGTGAAACGGGTTTTACACGGCAAAGGCTTTACAGTAACGCAGCGCGCCCGTGGGTACAGACCCCTCTTAACAGCGGGAAAAAGGTCCCCGCTTACCCCGAGCTTCAAGAAGAGGGGGTGAGTGGGGCTCCTGGGCGGCTGAGGGCTAAACTGCACCTCCGGGCTTCTGTTCGGGTCATGACCTCAGGTGGGCTCACCGCCCCATCGGCCTCCGCACCCCGCGGGAGTCCGCTGGGGATTCTCTGCCTCCTCCCCTCCCCCATCTAAGTAAGTCTGCTAGAACCTGCGGGGCCCGAGGTTTGAGAGAGACTGTCTGAAGCCACATGCCTGGTGCCCGCCCAAGCCAGCACAGCTCGGGGTAGGGATGCGGACCCCACAGTGACCCAGACCGCTGGGGCGCAGGGGACTCCACGATCTCCAGACGAGGGGAAGACCTATGGGCACTACGGGGCTCGGAGACCCCGACGGTCAGGAGTGCGGAGACCTGTGCGCCCCGCCGGGACGGGGGACCCCGACGGTCAGGCGTGGGGGTGCGCCCCGCGGCGCCCGAGACTCCGGGGCTGGCCCTTTGGCTCCGCCGGCACCCCCAGCGCGGTCACCCCGTCTGTCGTCCCGAGCTGCTGAGGGCGTCTGGGCGCCTGGTCCCCCTGAGCCCAGCCCGGCAGAACAGGCCCTCGGCGTGCGCTCCCCCACCGCGTCCGGCCGCGGGAACCTTTCCCCTTAGCCGCAATCCAGAGTCGCTCCGAGGAAGTCCGACGCCACGCGCCTGCGCAGACCCCTGTGCCTGCGCGGTCCCAGCTCCTACGCAGAGCCCTGCGCCTGCGTGGCGGGGGGGGGGTAATACCTGGACAGATCTCCGCGCTTGCGCAGACCCTGCGTGTGAGGGCCCGCCAACGGGGGCGGGCCCAGAGTCGGCAGGCCATCGTTCGATCCCCTTCATTGGCTGAGAAATGCAGCGGGGGCGTGGCCCACCGCTGATTGGGCGGCGTGCGAAACAGAGGGTCCCTGCGAGCCAATCGCAGCGCGGGTGAGGTGCGAGCAGGGTTCAGCAGGCGGCTGAAGGCTGAATTGCGGTTTCTTGGCCATGGCCTCTGAGAAGCGGGTGGTGGCGGTGACCTGCACCGCGCCGGTCAACATCGCGGTCATCAAGTACTGTGAGTGCGCGGCCCGGGGCGCCGGACACGGCCCACGCGGGACGTCCACCCCCGGGGGGTCGGGACGGGGTTGGCGACAGTGTCCACGCGGACGGCGAGCCCCACGGGGGCGGGATGGGGTGGGGGACAGTGTCCACGCTGGGGCGAGACGGGGTCGGTGACTGTCCCCGCGGGGGCGGGATGAGGGCGGGTGACAGTGTCCACGCGGACGGCGACTCTCGCAGGGGAGAGACGGGGGAGGGTGGCAGTGTCCACGCGGACGGCCAGCTCTGCGGGGGCGGGATGGGGTGGGTGACAGTATCCCCGCTGGGGCGAGACGGGGTCGGTGACTGTCCCCGTGGGGGCGGGATGAGGGCGGGTGGCAGTGTCCACGCAGATGGCGAGTCCCGCGGGGGGCGGAGTGAGGGCGGGTGACAGTGTCCACGCAGATGCCCAGCCCCACAGGGTGGGACGGGAGGGGGTTGGTGTGTGACAGTGTCCACGCGGGATGGGAGGGGGGAGACAGTGTCCACACGGAGGGCCACCCGGGGGCTGGGGACCCACGGTCTCCCGCACCGGGGAGACCGCTCTCCCTCTGCAGAATGCTGTGAGCGCAGTCAGTGCGCGTGTAGCTTTGAGGAGTGGCCCTTGTCACTCGCCTGATTCCGGAGACTCCCACGGGAGGCTGCTCACGTCATTACTGGTCCTTCCAGTGCTGAGTCCTGTTCCCTGGTGGGGCCGTCCCACCCGGGCCTCAGCAGCTGGGCTGTTTCCAGGCTGAGCCATGTTGTGGATAAAGCCTTCCGCACCACCCGAACACAAGTCGTCCCTCCCCGGGGCGAATGCTGGGTCACAAGGTGGTTGTATTTCAGTTTTTTATTTAAAAAAATTTTTTTAAAGATTTTATTTATTTGAGAGAGGGCGTGCATGGACAATGGGGGAAGGGGCAAGCGGAAGAGGGAGAAGCAGTCTCCCCACTAAGCAGGGGCCCCACTCGGGACTCCATCCCGGAGTCCCGGGATCCTGACCTGAGCTGAAGGCAGACGCTTCGCCGTGTGAGCCCCACGGGGTCCCTGCTTCCCCTCTCCGTCTCTCATCCCCCCACAAGGTTCTCTGATTTTATCAGGCAAATAAATAAAATCTTAAAAAAACCAGATACGCCCCGGACCACTTTGTGTTTCCACCAGCATCGTCTGTGTGATCCCGGTCTTCAGCCGTTGCTGGTGTTGTCACTGGTTTTCATTTGAGCTTTTCTGACCAGTGGGGTGACATCTGGTTGTGGGTTTCCGCCCAGGGATCCTGAACCCCTGGCCTGGTGCTTACCTGCGACCCGTGTGTCCTCTCTGGGCAGTGTCTGCTCGCATCCCCTGGCCACGTCCTGCTTGGACTGTGTGCTTTCTCCCCGTGGAGATTTGAGAGTCCGCAGTCTAGTCGAGGCTCTAACCCTCTGTTGGACGTGTGCCAGCATCTTCTTCCACCCCTTAGCTTGTCCCTTCATCCTCCTAACAGGGTCTTTCAAAGTTTTGAGAGTTTTGCCGAAGTCCAGTGTATCAGGTTTTCCGTGACTAGATCAATGCTTTTGGTGTGGAGTGAGACTCCTCTGCCTGATCCTACACCAAAAGGTTTTCTCCCGTGTGTTTTTCTAAAGGTTTTGTAGCTTTGCGTTTTATTTATTTATTTATTTAAAAGATTTTTATTTCTTTATTTGACAGACAGAGATGACAAATAGGCAGAGAGGCAGGCAGAGAGAGAGGGGGAAGCAGGCTCCCTGCCAAGCAGAGAGCCCGATGTGGGGCTCGATCCCAGAACCCCGGGATCATGACCTGAGCCAAAGGCAGAGGCCTTAACCCACTGAGCCACCCAGGCGCCCCATAGCTTCGCATTTTAAATTGAAGTCTCCACCTTGACGTGTTTCTCTGCGTGAGGTGTGAGAGTCGGGTCGCAGTCTGTGTCTGGCCGTGGATGTCCGGGTGTCGGGCAGCATGTGCTGAGAAGGCCGCCCCTCCCCTTTGCAGCGCTTCTGCGATTTCTCAGAGACGAGCTGGGCATGTTTGTGCAGGTCCCTGTCTGGGCTGTCATGGATCACCTGCCAGGCGTAGTCATTACCACCACCTGTAACTGTCCCCACTCCCGACACCGCATGCACTGTGTGTGCTTCACAGAGAGAGAGCTCCGCGACTTCCCACGTGGGGACGATTCCCTCGTCTGGTGCGCGGGGAGTGGAGGCGGTCCCATGTGTCTCCAGGGCCTAAGCGCACAGAGCTTGCAGGAGTTTCAGTAACTAGGGCACTCCTGCGTGGGGGGCGAGAGCCTTACCATCTGAGTGCTCAGGGCCTGGAAAGCCACTCCAAGGCAATTAGTTGAATGGATGAAACAAGATAAAACATGCGATGAGCTAGGGGCATGGACTGGCCTCCAGCTCTGCTCTGGGAGTGGGAGGCCAGTGAAGTGGGGGAGCAATCCAGGAAGACTTCCCGAAGGTGAGGGCCCAGCAGGAAGAGGACGTATCTGATGCCATGAGAGAGCACGGTCCTGGCAGATGGGGGAGCAGTGGGATGGGAGTGAGGGTAACTGGGGAGCACTGGTGGGGAGGAGTGAGGGCAGCAGTGTGCTGGTTTGCAAGGCTGGGAAATGGACCAGCCTGGCCTTCGGTTGTCTGTTCCAGGGGGAAAGCGAGATGAGGATCTGGTCCTGCCCATCAACTCCTCTCTGAGTGTCACTTTGCACCAGGACCAGGTTAGTACAGGTCAGCACTAAACACCAAAGCAAATAATCACCAAACTTCTGTCGCACTCGTGTGTGACAATGGGTCGCACAACTCTCCAGCCGGTGCCAGCCCCACCCACCCCTGTTAGGACTGCTCTTCCCGTGCACTCCCCTCCTCCCTGGTCTCTAGAGGTTCCTGTCCCTTCCTCCTGGAGCCACGCCCCGTGGCTCCGCTGTGGCCCAGGAAAGCGTGGGCTGCACCCTGCGAGCCCGAGCCAGGCTGGGTGCCGAGCCTGCCGCACGGCTTGAGGCCTTCCTCACCGCCTGGCCTGGCTGCCTCGGCCTCAATAGCCCTATTCTCCAGGGAGGCCATCCTTGCCCCTCAGTGGGTGACCGGGAAGGGCCACGTAGGAAGGCCCTCCCCCGCGGCCAGGGGCGCTTAGCCGGCCCCCCCTCTGAGGTGGCCTGTGTGTTCCTTCCCAGCTGAGAACCACCACCACAGCCGCCATTAGCAAGGACTTCACCGAGGACCGGATCTGGCTGAACGGCCTGGAGGAGGACGTGGGGCAGCCCCGCCTCCAGGCCTGTCTGAGGGAGAGTGAGTGGGCTTGCGGGAGGGGCGCGTGCGGCGCTGGGGCTGGGCCCCGGTGGTTCCTCACTCCACCATCCCTTCTTCACTCTGGCTTGGGTCTCAGTGCACAGAAGGTGCCGCTGCCTCTTAGCTCCCCCGACTTCCCAGCACAGCCCAGCCCCTCGGGGAAAGGGGGACGCCTGTCAGCACATCTGGAGCGGGTGTGGGTCGGGGGCTGGGGTCTGGGGCTCTGCCCCAAGCAGGAGGCCTGCACCAAGTCTGGGGCAGAGGCCTGGCTTCAGCTGTGCCACTGCCCCTTCCTGACCTGTGGCGGGTGAGATGTCAGGAACAGGTCGGGGCCACTCTGCCTGTGACCGTCTCCCCCGTCCCTTCAGTCCGCCACCTGGCCCGGAAGCGGAGGAGCGCCGGTGACGAGGACCCAGTGGCCCTCGGCCTCGGCTACAAGGTTCACATCGCATCCATGAACAACTTCCCCACGGCTGCGGGCCTGGCCTCCTCAGCAGCGGGTTACGCCTGCCTAGGTGGGTGCCCACAGGAGCCCAGGGCCCCTAGGGGGTGTGCTGGGGCAAGCGGCACCGCTCGCTCTTGGCCTCCAGGGATCTGGGTGCCCAACTCTTCCTGGGGCTGTGTGTGTAGAATCCTCTGGGTTATTTGTGTCAGAAACCTGTCTCCAACTGGCTTAAGCCTAAGATAGGAGCAGTTTCTTGGCTTAGCTGGCTTCAGGTGCAGCTGGCTCCAGGTGCTCCCACAGATTCCTTGGCAACTTGTCTCCCTCCCTCCAAACCCCTGCTTGGCTTCCCTGTATGCTGGCTTACTCTCTAGTAGGCCCTCCCCACCTGGGGCAAAGCTGGGCACCACGTGGCAGGCGGCAGGCTCACCGTGTGTGGCCTGGCCAAAACCCAGCTCAGCCAGCTCACATGCCACTGCCTGAGACGCCCTCGATGACTGGCAAGGCCAGGAGGACACCCAGTGCTGGGGGCAGAGAGCTCACCCTACGGGCTCCCAGCTCTATCCTGGTGTCAGCCGCTCAGCCAGACCAGCCCTGCTTCCTGGTGGCCCGCACTGCCAGCTGCCATCCTCATGCCCGCTTTTCAGGCCTCTCTGCATTAGTCTCTGCGCCACATGCTTTTGAAAGTCTTCGTCCCCACCGCACCCATCTGAGCCCCCTGTGCCCTTCCTCCTGTGCCTTCAGCCTATACCCTGGCCCGGGTCTACGGGGTTGAGAGTGACCTCTCGGAAGTGGCACGCCGGGGCTCGGGCAGTGCCTGCCGGAGCCTGTATGGTGGCTTCGTGGAGTGGCAGATGGGGGAGCGGGCCGATGGGAAGGACAGCATCGCCCGGCAGGTGGCCCCGGAGTCACACTGGCCGGAACTCCGAGTTCTCATACTTGTGGTGAGTGAGGCTGGGGGGGCAGCTCCTCCGGGCCTGTGGGCTCGCCGGGTGACAGAAGCACCTGGCCCAGCTCTGAGCGACTGCCCGCGGCAAAGGGGCTGCCGTTCCCAGGCGGGGGCAATGGATGGGACGCGGCCATGTTTTAGGCTGGGGCAGCAGCATGGGGTCCAGGCCAGTTCTCCCGGCAGGTGAGCGCGGAGAAGAAGCCGACGGGCAGCACCGCGGGCATGCGGACCAGTGTGGAGACCAGCCCCCTGCTCGGGGTAAGGCTGGTGCCGGGATGGCCCAGGGCACGTCCCATACCTCCCGGCATACGGTGGGCTCCACCCGCCTCCCTCAAAGCCCTGCTGGTCTGCCCGGCTCAGCCCCCCAGTGTTGCTGCCGGCCGCCCTGCCGAGCCGGGACTCTGACCTGGGGGACGGCTGGCGCCTCACGGGACCATGCCTTGCAGTTCCGGGCTGAGTCGGTGGTGCCTGCACGCCTGGCAGAGATGGCCCGCTGCGTGCAGGAGCGGGACTTCCCGGGCTTCGCCCAGCTGACCATGAAGGACAGCAACCAGTTCCACGCCACCTGCCTGGACACCTTCCCGCCCATCTCTTATCTCAGCGACACGTCCTGGCGCATTGTGCATCTGGTGCACCGCTTCAACGCCCACCACGGGCAGACCAAGGTAAGGCCAGGCCGCTCCTGCCGACTCCCCAGACCCGCGGCGCGCTCCCTGCGCCGGCCCTCGGGCCCAGAGCTGCTGCACAGCCGGCTGCAGTCTGGCGCAGGCCGGCCGAGACCGGGGCTTCGCGGCCCCGCTGGACCCGGCCGTCGGCGGGCACTTAGTCTCTTGGCCCGCGTGTGGGTGCGCGGCCCCCACTTGGCACTTGAAGGCGCGGGTCCTGAGCCGGTGGGCAGAGGGGCGGCGGCTTCCCTCCAGGCAGTGCGGGGTCTCTGGGGCCAAGGAGAGGTGGGAGCTGGGCCAGCCGCCCTGCAGACACTCACGCGGGCCCCGGGGCTTCCAGGTGGCATACACGTTTGACGCGGGCCCCAATGCTGTGGTCTTTGCCCTGCACGACACCGTGCCTGAGTTTGTGGCTGCTGTGAGGCACTGCTTCCCCCCCGAGTCAAACGGAGACAAGTGAGTTGGGGGTCCCCCACATTTAGGAGGCGTAGGGGGAGGAGCGGGGTCACCTGCTGAGATCTGGGACGGTGGCCCCCGAGGCCGTGGTGCTAAGTGGGGGGTCCCGTGGGAGTCTCCGTCTCTGCAGGGACCCCAAGCGGTGTGTCACCAAGGGCGCCTCCCTGTGACCATCACGCATCACAGACTGGTGGCCACACGTGTGGGTGCGAGCAGCATCATGGTGTCTGGGGCTGGAGCCCGTGTCCCTTCCAGTCGTCTTGGTGCAGGGACACCTCACTGCTTGGGGTGCGGGGAATGTGTCACCGTCATTGGGGGGACACTGACCTGTAGTGTGTGGGGGCCGGAGGGCTGGCTTCCTCACCGGGTGGACAGACCCCATGACCAGGGACAGCCCCTGAGGCAGCCGGCGTCCTTGCAGGAGACCGAACTCATCGCTCCTGTCACCCCGTGGGCGGCTTGTGGGTCTGCGCGTCCCGGGGGTGGGGGCTTCCACTCGGACTGAGGTGCTGCTGCTTCGTTTCTCAAAGACTCTGTGTATTTGAGAGAGAGAGAGCTTGAGTGGGGCGCAGAGCGGAGGGAGAGGGAGAAGCAGGCGCCCCCCCTGCGCGCGCAGCCTGACACGGGCTCGGACCCAGGACCCTGGGATCATGACCTGGACCAAAACCGAGATTTGTTTGCTTGGCACCCTGAGCCATGCAGGCCCCCACGAGGTGTTCCCTTTCTGACCTTTGTCCCACCCCGGCCAAGCAGGAGCCGCGGGTGAGGAGTGGAAGGAGGAAACCAGAGCCCCACTCCTGGTGACCCCAGCGGGCGCGCGCTCGCTCGTGCTGGGCATCGTGCGCGAGGTCAGATACACACCGCGGAGCCGTCACCCCTTCCACAGCTGGGAGGGCGCGCCCCGCGGCTGTCCCCGTGCTGCTGTGCGAGCGGCACTGCCACCTGGTGCCGGAGCTTCTGCATTTCCCCGGAAGGGACCCCCACCCCACGCCAGCTGCCAGTCCGCTTCCTGTCTCGCACCTGCGGCCTCCGTCCGTGGCCTCAGGACCTGCCGCCCCTCTTTCCCCAGGTTTCTCAAGGGGCTGCCCGTGCCACCCGTCCCACTCTCAGACGAGCTTAAAGCGGCGCTGGACGTGGACCCCACCCCCGGCGGCGTCAAGTACATCATTGCCACCCAGGTGAGGCCCAGGGCCCGGCTGACCGAGGGGGCGCGTCCAGCCCCGCGGGCTCAGCCCCTGCCTGCCACCAGGTGAAGGGGCGCCCTTCAGCCGCCGTCTGTCGTGGCTGGAACGCTGAGACACAGTGACATGGCCTTTGGGTTTTCAGAGTTTGGTACCGTCCGGCTTGAGCCTTCACTCAGTCACCCTTCAAGTGGGTGTGTAAGGACCCCCGGCGTTGTGGGGCAGTGTTCCCCGTGCTGAGGGGGGACTTAGGGAGACACAGGCGCGGTGGGTCCTCGGGGCCTTCCTGGCTCACCCCACAGGAGCGGGTCCCAATCCCTGTTTGAAGGCCTGAGCCCACATTTCACCAAGACTGGTCTGATCCTGATTCCTGTGACCTGAGCCCCCAGGCCCACGGTCTCTACCTTGCACTGGGGACGTGCTGTCCGCCCCACATCTGGGTGATGGAGGCCAAGTGACGGAGGCCCGCCGTGGGGCAGGATGCTGCTGCGTGGGTCGTTAGCTTCTGACCTGTACTTCCTGCCTCCCCATCGGACAGGTGGGACCCGGGCCTCAAATCCTGGAGGACCCTCGCGCTCACCTCCTGGGCCCGGACGGCCTGCCGAAGCCGGCTGCTTGACCGCCTTTCCTGAGGGGAGCTCCGGCCGTCCCTGGAAGAAGGCTGCTTCACTGGGAACGGGGTCGCTGGGGGTGGCGACCGGGGGGTCTGTGCTTGTTGGGGCTCCAGGCCGGACCCCACACTGTGGCCGAGTTGGGTCAGTGGAGTGACCAAGCCGTTGGGGAAACGCTGCCCCCTCTGCCCCCGCCAAGTGCCTCACCTAGTGCTTTGCTGAGAAGAGAGCGGGTACGAGCACCAGGGATCCGATTCTGGGCGCAGAGTGGGATGGTGTGGAGTGGCTGGGCATCCCTTCAAGGGGCCCCCTAGACTCACTGTCTGAGGCCACTCCCACTGCCCCAAACGGCAGCTCTGCTGGACGTGAAAGGGAGTCGGCACCCCTCCTCAGAGCCGGACGACAGGTCACTGTTAGAGACCTCAGGGACCCCCCACAAAAGCTTCAAGCCTCAGCTAGCCCCCCACAACTCCTCGGCCGGACTCATGCCCTGCAAAACAAATGGAATGTTTCTTTGTAGAAAGACCCCTGGTGTGTCTGTAGCGGGAGATGGGAGAGCAGCGCCAAGGTGGGTGCGTTACACAGGAGCCCGTGGGCTGCTGGGAATAAAGCCATCGGTGCTGACTGGGGCAGACGTGTTTTATCGTGGTTCCGACCCTGGCACTCTGGGGCCCCTGCGTTGCGAGGCTGGGAGGGCATGGACGGAGTGCGCGGGAAAGCTGCCTTGCGTGCCTTTCACTTGCCTGTCAGCTGCGGGCCACACGGTGGGCGTTCAGCATGTGGCCGTGAGCCACGTCCGGTGGCTGACACAGTCTCTGAGGCTCTGATGGGTGTGAGATGTGGTTTGGGTCTGGCTGTAAGTCCCTGTCCATGCAGGAAGGTGGGAAGTGGGTTTGTTGGTGGGAGTGCTGGTTAAGGACTCAATTCCCCACAGCCCAGAAGTTTCTGGGCTCTGAAACCACAGGAGTGCCGCCCCTCCCTGTTTCTGAACCATCAGTGCTGGGCAGGGTAGGCTTCTGGGAAGAGTGGACCCCCAGGGCCAAACCTCCATCCTTCCTGCACCAGGGTCAGGGCTGGGTCTGGGGCTGTGGGGGAGGGTAATGCACCTGCTGGGCTGTGATCCTGAAGGGGAGGGTGAAGGGAGATGGCAAGGACCATTCCTGCCCTCTGGATTTCCCCAGAAGCTTGGCAGGTCTTGCCCTCCTGCGAGCAGAGGGTTGCCTGTGGTCTAACCAGACCTGAGCTGCAGCATGGCTGATGAGGAAGTGGGGGCTGGGCCTGCCACTGTCCCCCCTGGTGAGGACTGGCGCCTGGCTTCCTTGTGGGGCACCGGTGGTGTGGCTGCAGTGAAGGTTCTAGGGCCTTGAAAACCTTCTAGGAATCAGCCTGCCCACACCTCTTTTGGGAGAAACCCCTGTTGCCGCCTGTGGGATCCTCCGACCGGAAGGTCCAAGAAACTGAGCTTTCTGCCCTCTTAGGCAGGTGCCTCCACCCCACAGCGTGCTCCCGCTGTGGCCCAGCCCGCCAGGGATCACCTTGGTCGGAAGAGGCAGTGGAGCTGATGGTGCCTAAGGGGGCAGTGGTGGCCCCTCCTCCGGCGCCTGGAAGGAGCTGGGGGAGGAAGGAGGCCGAGGCCGAGGCCTGGGCCTGGACGGAGGTGGGCTGGCTGGGGCCGCAGGGAACCCCGCCTGGGAGGGAGGCCCAGCGCCGGCAGGGCCCCCCACGCTCGGTCCCTGCTCTCAGAGAGAGCGGGTCCGGGCCGCCTCGGGGGCGGGGCCTGCCTCGGGGGCGGGGCGGGGGCGGGGCCGGCCTTCGGGCTGGGCCCGCAGTGTCGCAGGGATCCCGTCGAGTCGCGGTCGTCTCCGCCACCATGGGGCAGATCGAGTGGGCCATGTGGGCCAACGAACAGGCGCTGGCGTCCGGCCTGAGTGAGTGCGCGTCGAGCCCTCGGGCTGCGGGTCGGGCTGGGCCAGCGCGGGCGCCGAGACCCCGGGCTGCGGGCTGGGAGTGGGGACTGAAGGCAGGGCCCGGGGCCTGCAGCTGCGGGGCGGGCCCGGAGTGGGCTGAGACCGGCGGGTCAGTCAGGGACCTTGGCCTGCAGAGGAGGTTTGGAGACCAAAAACCCCCTGCTCCTGCCCACCCTCCAGCTGTCCCCTCTACTCCCCCACCCAGGCCCAGACCTCTACACCGAGAGAGGAAGTTGCAACCAGGGGAAGAGGCGTTTCGTCCCTGGTGGTTTCCGGGGAGTCAATGCCCCCTGGGGTTGGGTAAACACAGCAAGTGGACAGCCCATACCCCTGCTGCCCAGGGCTGGGGGGCTTTGGCCCAACCGTGGAGAGGGGCTTCCTCTCGTCCTGGGTCCTGGGAGGCAGGTGCTCAGCATGTGGGGCCCCACCCCCAGTTGCACAGAAGGGCTTCTAGGATTTCATAAGGGAGCTGGAAACCCCCGAGAGTGACCCCGTTCAGCTCAACTCCCAGAGAGACTGCTTCTGGGGTGGGGGCAGGGCCCCCAGGCACCATGCCCCGTGTGCGCAAGAGCTCTGGTAAGGGAGCAGTGGGGTGTGCACCCAGCTCTGTACTCACAAGCAGGAACCTCTCTGGACTGTGTGGGGCAAAGCTGAGTCAAGAGGGGCCCCAGAGGCTCTGCCTGCCTCCCTCCAGTGACCTGCCAGTCCCAGGAAGGGCCTGTGCGCCCAGTGTGGAACACGCAGACAGGGGGCGTCTTAGCCGCACACCATTCCCCCTGGACCGCACCCCACCCCCGGCCTCCTGCACCCGGGGAGGGAGGAGCAGAGGCAGAGGACGTCTCCCCACCCCACACTGTCAGATCACATTTTAGAGCATGGGGCCTAGGGTGTGCTGTACGTGCAGGCAGGTCCCACTTGCTGTGGGCCTCTCCAGTGGCTGAGAACTCAGTGGGTCGGTCACATGGTGCTGTCACGGTCCCCAGGCTGTCCACTGCAGACAAGCCTCTGGTTCTTTGGAGGCCCACTGTGAGCAGGCCGGCGTCCTGGCCTTGGCTACCGCCCGCGAGGCCATGGGGCCCACACTTCTCTCATGTCCGCTGCACAGATGGCAAAGTCGGGGGTGGGCTCAGCCTTCTCCATCGTCAAATAAGAGTGCTTGTCAGAAGGTCCCCAGGGCCTGCTCTGGTTCCTCCCTTGCTGACTTCTCTTCTGGGTGTGAACTGTAGCCTCCAGCGACGGCTCAAGCCTGGTGAGACCCTGACTACACACAGTCACAGCCCACAGATTTTTCTATTGTGGGAAGTCCCATCTGACCCAATGGTGGCACCTGCTGCTAAAAGCCTTCCTGGGGTTTTCTAGTACACACACCAAAAGCCAGATTCTGGCTGCTCCAATCCCTGAGTGTCCAGAACATTGCCCTCTCCGGGACTCGTGCACAGACTTCTGTTCTGTTCCCGGATCCTCTGAGCTGACCCCAGGGCCTTTGCTGAGCTGAAGCGTCTGTGGCTGGCTCTCAGCTCACGATGTCTCTCAGCTCACGATGCCACCTGCTTGGAGCAGACTTTCCGGGGTACCAGGCGGAAAGGAGCCCCAGACATTCCATCCCGTTCCCCCTCTTCTAGTTTCGATATTTATTTCTGTTCCCCTGACAAGACCATGAGTCCCGCAAGAGCTGAGGCCTCATCTGTCCTTGCCGCTGCTGCACGGAGCAGGGCTCTCTTGGCGTTTGGGGGTGGTGCAGCAGTCCTCCCTCCTTCCTGGTGAGTCAGTGGTGTCTTTGCCCTCCTCTTGCCGAGGGCAGGCAGCCACACCACCGCTCGGGAGGGGGAAATCACACACCCAAACACAAGTAAGCTGACTGAATGCGGAACGGCGCTCTTCCCTCTCCCAGCTCCCCCAGATGCTGACCAGCCAACAAAAAAAGTTAATATGTACTAGAGCTCAGCAGCACCACTGGTAGGAAATCTGCTGGCAGGAAGCAGAGTGAGGTTTCAAGGTGGTGTATCTGGGCTGAAGGAAGGGGTGCCGGGGGAATAGGGTCTCTCAGGGGCTCAGGCTCTTACCTGGTGGGATTTGGGGGCCTCTGTGTGGAAACAGGTGAATCTGGGCTGCATGGCTAGACCTGGCTGGGGAGGGCCACATGCACAAGAAACAGCGTCAGGAACAGTCCTCTTCAAGGATGCTTGGGACCTGCAGCCAGGGCTGGCTTGAAGAAGCCTGGGACCATGCAGCCGTGCAAACTCAGGCCTGTGCTATGAGTGGGGAAGGGCTGAGTGTTTTCTTCCCTGGGCCAGACCAAGAGATTGCCGCGCACTGGGCCCAGGCCCGGAGAAACCCCGAAGCCCCCAGCAGAGGCAACGTGAAAGCTGTCTGCAAGGCTGTTTGCTCCCCGGGGCGCAGGAGACCGCCACAGGAAGCCGGGCACTGCCAGCCGCCTGCCCCGCCCGTGGAGGAAGCACGTGGCCCAGGGTGGGCGCTGACACTGCGGCAGAGCCAGGGAGCCGAGCCGCCTGGGCCTGGAAGACCTGAGGACGTGAGGACGCCTTGATGCCCACCAGTATGTTCCAGACTCTCAAGGGGAGAAGAGAGCAGAGGGCACAATGAAACAGGACAAGAAGTGAACTATGCAGAACATCAAGAAAGAAAATTCATTCACGGTCCACGGGTGAGCTGGATGCACTGTAAAGATAAGAGGGCTCGTGGAGTGGACGATGGGACTCAGGGCGCCTCGCAGCATGCCGCGCACACCAGAGACGGGGTTACTGAGGAGAAGCTGAGCCCTGTGCAGGGGTGCAGGGGTGGGGGTGCAGGGTGGGCAGCAGTGGAGGGAGGGAACCTGCCGCGTGGGGGCGGTGGGAGTGCAGGGAAGACCCTCCCCATGGTCAGTGGGTGGGAGAGACCCTCCCCGTGGGCAGCAGCAGGTGCAGAGGTGAGAAGCAGGGCCCTGTAGGGTGAATGCTGGGAGGCAGCACGAAAGGGTAACGGGCGAGCATTTTCCAGAAATGGAGAAATCTCAGATTGAAAGAAAGCGGAGTCCTTTACAGAATAAAGAAAAACAGATCCCTTTTTGGACACAAGGTAACGAAATTATAGACCATTAAAGAAAAATC